AACAACCTGCGGGGAGGCCGGAGCCAGAGTGCAGGGGGACTGCCTATGCTGCAGGCATGCCCCGGCTAGTGGGGGGGGAGAGGAAAGGAACGGGGGGGAGATAGAGAAGGGGGGGCGGCCAGGGCTTCAGCGGGGCGCTCGCCACGCGGCCTCTCCCACCGTGCCGTTTACCGGGAGGGCTCTGCACTGCTCCGGTCGGCGGGGAGGGAAGGACGCAGGATGCCCTGCCAGGCTTGCTACAGACCTGGCACCAGCTGGGGCAGACGGAGCGCGCAGCCTGCTCCCAGCAGGGCGCTCCCCTCCTCCGCGCCGCCGCCCCCTACAGGGACGCCAGATCGGCGAACCAAACAAAAACAAAAAAAAGCGTCTGTGCCGCCCTAGGATTGGGCGGAATGCCGCCCCGTAGAATCTGCCGCCCCAAGCACGAGCTTGCTTGGCTGGTGCCTGGAGCCGGCCCTGCACCCTGCAGCCCTCACCCCCACACCCCAACCTTCTGCCCCACCCCTGAACCCCTCCCAAACCCCTCATCCCCAGCTCCGTTGGGTCGCGGACATCAACAATTTTCTTGGTTCTGGGTCGCCAGAAAAAAACAGTATGCAAACCACTGCCCTAATACAGATTGGTTCCGGCCAGCGATGACTCTGGGTTTCTAGTCCTGGGTTTCTCTTGAGATTCCTGATTGGGCCAGAATGTTTGGTGGCTCTGTGATGTGGGTGACTGCCCTCCTTAGGGACTGAGAGAAGACCAGCACTTTAAGTCAATATGTGATCTTAGGATGTGACAGCTTCTCTGCTCAGCTACAGGGACAAGAATGCCATTTTTAAATGGGATTCCTGCTAGTGGTTTAGATAATGGGCTTAAAAGGACACACCAGGTGGCCAGGCTTTTCCCCAGGCTGGCGCACACATTGGTAGGACTTACTGCTTATTTGCCGGGACTTAAGCAGTTTAGCCGCCTTTCTCGGATAATGTCAATCCATCAGCATAGACGGGCTGTCATGTGTGACACTGTGTCAGCTGGTCTTGGCCTAGCCCATGGTTCCAGACAGACCGGCTGGCACAATGTTAAACATGACTTGTCCCGGTCTGCACTACAAAGAGGTGTTGGTCAACACGACTCCTCAAGCTCATGTTCTAACACCACCTAATTGTCTCATGAAGAGAAGTCCGCTAGTGGAATTCTCCTGGTCACAGGTAATTACCTCCCCTGACAAACCAGCCCCATCCGAAGTGCAGGCAGTTACAACTCCTCATTGTTACAGTTCTCGGTAAAGTGGATGCCGACGTGAGCCAGGGCTGACAGCTCCAATCCAAAGTGTTTTTCAATTGTGACCGCGCGTTTCTGACAGGGATCCTTCACTTCTGGAAATTAAGGCACCCAGTTAAGCGAAAGTGAAAGGTTGACATGGAGCTTGGTGTCTGCAGAGCTGGTATATCCTGTCTGTGAGGATTCTGCGGGGGTGGGGTGGAGTGCGAGGGAAAGTTAACAGAAGATTTAGTTGAGAGCTACAAATGAATCAAACAGTAGCTTGCGACAGGAACTATGACACAGGAACAAAGACACTAATATACAGTACTGTAAGGCACTCCTACTGGGGAGGGAGAATTGAAAGGCAAATTATGAAGACGGAACCACCAGACTCCACTGGTTCAATAGCTGTACAATGGCCTACGAAGCTGGAAGTCTGGCTAGAGAGCTCAGGAAGACAAAGAGAGAGAGTTTGCAGCAGGGCACAAGAGCTAAGATTGTAATGATTAGTCAATTAAATCCCTTCTATAGGTACCAACAGTCAGCTGCAATCTGGACGTGACCTTCCTAAAGACAGGTTCTGTTCCAGAGGGAGAAAGCAAACGGAAGGCTCTCAGGTTCCCCATTTAATTTTAATGAGGCTTCCCATTTTTTTAACTTGCAAGATATCAATACATTAGAACGTACACAGCTACTGATATTCAATATGAAGAGAAAGACTTGCCACAAGCAGCTCTCTCAATCTCCACTCCTCAAGGGGTGAGCAAGGCCGGAGTTCTCGCCAAAAGAGCCTTAGCTCAAATCGTTCAGAAGCTAACCCGACTGCAAGCTCCTCGCATCAGAGAAACGAGGCTGGGCCGGTATGTGCCAGTCTGGACACTGTGTCACATGATGGAGAAATCAACTCTCATCGGTTGAGACTGACAAAGAGCAGGAAGGGCGTAGAAGCATGTAAGAGAAAACACGCAACAACTGGTGAAACCCATCCATTGGGAAATCCCTTGTTTCTCATG